GGGCGGAATTAACATGCAGCTGGGCTGCTCTGATAAATGGATTCTGTTAGGTCACCGAGGGGATGCGTGTGACATTAAGTGATTTACCGTCCTTTACCTTAATGAAATTGTTTCAGCAAGATGACGCTGAGAGCTTTTAATGGATAGCTTTTCTTGAGGTAATGAAATTGCATTCCTTTGGCATTTAATATAAGGTGCAGTTATTATTTACTGGAGCTTTCCCAGCGCTGCTGGTTTTGCGCAGGCAGTTGAGAACAAAAAGGGATTTCTGTGGCAGCATGCAGGCCAGCGCGCCGTGTGACAGGCTCAAGCGCACGGGCGTATTTGCGCGAGCGTTTCAGTTAGCGTGGCCTGGCTCCGCCGGCCCGTCAGGAGGCTGTCTTTGCACCTAAGCGCTCGTCTCCCTTACAAATACCTTTCCTAATCTGTTTCACAGGCAACTGGATTACAACCAGATCAGCTGTATTGAAGACGGGGCATTTAGGGCTCTGCGCGACCTGGAAGTGCTGTAAGTATTCCTGTATCTCTTACTTGTAGCAAGAGCTCGGTATCTGGGGAGTGCTAATGTAAAAGCTTATCTACGAGCCGCAGCCTGGTGTCAGGATGGTCTAGTGAAAAGGTGTCTTAAAATAATCCGCTGTGATGGGCTATAAAATGGTAAAAAAGATGTGGAGAGGCAGAGATACTCCTTTACTCTGCAAGCCAGCCAGCCATTAAACACAGTTTAAAAAAAAAAAAAAGCAGATGGCAGATACTGTAAGAAAAGAATCTATTTCCTTTGAAAATTGGGGGGGCAGTATTAATGAATCCAATTAATTTTGTAAATTATCCATCACTGTTGAAGGGCTGAACATTTTCAGGATCGCCTTTGTTGTATACTCTGACATCAATTTGGTCTTCCACACACTGTTTAAGGAACAATATGCTATATATATTTGAGAAGCTGGATGTTTTCAAAGAGGTGTTTTTCTGTCAAACACTACTGTCATGTGCTAAGATGTTTAGCATGTCCACGTTAACTGCTTTTTTTAACATTTTCAATTTTATGTGTATACATACATATCTGTGTAGAAAAATACCTTTTTTATGTCGCTGGAGGTTAGTATTGCAATACTCTTTTGCATACTTTTTCTCACTGTCTCAAAGTGGCCATCAGTGAGGATAAAGGTAACAAAATTATCATCAGTGACCTCTGACCTGAAAATAGGTACTGTAATGAGCAAAGTGCCGCAGTTCGCCAAGAATCTGAGGCACAGGACACATTCCTGAAATACTTGCTCTGTCAGTCAAGATGTCACATTTTTTCTGGGCTTTCTGTGTTAAGAGAAATGAAAGAGTATGAGTGAGTTACTTCGTGGTAGTTTGAATCACACTTGGTAATTCACAGCACCTTGAGGGGTGAGGAAGGGGTTTGGTTTGGGGGGCTTTTTTTTCAGACGGAAGTAAAGAGGCTTCTTTGGCAATAGGTAGCGTCTGCACGTCTAAGAAACTAAAGAGTGTGTGAGCTGCTGGTGGTAAAGTTTTTTATTATTAAGCAATACTTGGTCTTTCTTATGAGTGAATGGATCTGACAGCTAAATTTGATTTTAGCGCATTGTTAACTTGCTGGTATAAAGCCACGTAAAATGTACTGTAGGTTCAATATTACACCTAATTGTGAAGTTCATGAATTGTTGGTTCTCTGTCAGTAAACCTGATGTTCTGTGAGATTTTTATCTTTGGAACTCATATATATGACAGAATAACTTTTCCAGTGATGGCTTAATCTGGTTATTATGTTTTTTAATGCAAGTCTTTCTTTACAAGTGAAAGTGTTACATGTATATTTAAAAAAAAAAAATCAAATATTTTCTGCATTTTTTAATGCTTGCAATTTTTAGTGTTCTAAAAAGGTCATCCTTGCCAGTTGAAGTCAGTGGTAAAATTTTCACATCAATTTCAATGAATGCAAAAAGGGAAAAAAACCCTGTTAAAATAATAGTCTGCTGGAAAAGTAGGTAGAATTTTGTGAATGAATATACATAGAATATTAACATTATTCAAATATACAATTAAATGTTCACTATCTGAATTATGTGATAAGCAATGATGTAGAGATTAAGTTTTTAAAAAATTGAGATAGATATTTCAAACAGTACTGAAGGGTTTTTATCTAATTCAGCTTCCTTTCCAATATAGCTTAAAGAATGAAAGATACGTAGATCAGACCATACTATATATGCAGAGTAGTGTATAAGACTACATATTTTGTTTTCATTTGTAGTTAATTATTCTATCTAAGCACAGAATGTGTCTATTACTTCAAACTATAAGGATATGATAAAGCTTTTAAATAATCTTTAAAGTTACCTAGGTTGTAATCCTGTTCAGTGACAGTTTGAAATGTTTACCAAAGTAACAGGTCTTACATATTGCTTAAATAATTGCAGAATCTTAGAGGCTGTTACTGTTAAAGATACAAAATCAACCTGAAATCTTGACAATTCTGAAAGACGAAAGCAATTATAGGTGTAATCCTCCCTGTGAATTTCTGTGAAATTTTATTTTTCCTTTTTCTCTTTTTTTTTTTTTTTTTTTTTTAAAAGGGAAAATCTGCTGTACTGGGGTAACGGTGACTATGGGAAAATACATAGTGCTGTCGTATTAAAAAAATTCAAGTACCTAAGAAATTAAAAAAAAATGTCTTTCAGTCATCACACTCTTTGCAATAATATGTAATGCTTAGGTAAAAGTATTGAGCCAACTGTTCTTTTTAATTACATCTCTGTAATGAAAGCAAGCATTTTCACCATTAGATAGAAATAGTTAGGAAAATTATTTAATTCCTTATGTATCCCTTATGCCTACTCCTGTTAATTTTCAGTACCCTTGCAAAAATAAATTAATATCTCATGTATACATAATAGCAAGGCAAACATCAAACATCAAACATCTGAAATTGAAAATTAAAACATTTGTAGATATAACAGCTATGGAAGTATGTACTGATTTCCATTCCCATCATTGAAAAGAGATGCTTTCAAGACCTTGTGAGAAGTCGTGCAGAAAGAACTATGGGAGCTGTCATTTACCATGTGGACATTGTAAGAAAATCCTCCCAAGATTTACTGATTGTCATTTACTCATTAAGGCACCTTCTGTGGATATACCCACTTGGCCATTTTTTGTTGTTTCATTTTTGTTGTTTTGAAAATGGGCATGATTCTCCCTTTTTCTTCCTCTTTTGATTATTCTCCTCTTCATTTATGTACCCTTAAGGGCACACAGGGGAGATCCCTTATGCACAGTGAAGAAAACATTTAGGACGTGGAATGAGTAAGCACACAAAGGTAAAATACAGCACATTGCACCAGTAATTAATTGTTTGGTTAATGTAGAGGTGTATAGCCTGATACTGTTCAAGGTGCTGTGAATTTACCTTTCTGTGTTTCAGGATCAGAGAGTACTTAAAAATTTACTCAAAATGAGCACAAATTACACTTTGTGCTTTAAAACAAAAAAAGAAAAACCAGTTCTTACTTCAAAAGGGAAAAAAGGGTTGGTCAGTGGGCATTATTATTTATTAGTGCCATAGTTACGTGTTTAAAATCCCAGAGCACATTCTCTGTTCTGCTCAAGTGAGTAATCTCTAAGTCAAAACTGTAAATTCTATCTCTTGTTTCCTTGTTCTGGAGTCAAGCTTGTTTGCGTTTTATTTGCAGCCTAAAGACAATATTTAACTGCAGAATCGTTCATAAAGTTTCATTATCTTTACGAACTACGCTTACTGAGTATGATGGGTCTGTGCTAGCCAACAACTGGCTAAGATTTGTTCCTAGTTCCTAACTCTAGTTCCAGGCACCTTGTCTAAAATTTAAATTATCGATTTGCTAAAGTATTAAGATTTCTGACTCTTTCCATTGTATGGCAGAAGCTCCCCTACTGTTCATGCAGCTCTGGATCATCTATAGCAACTCTGTTCCATGTAAAACCTAATTACAGCTCAGAGTTAATCTTTTCCTAAAATTCTTGAAAAACCAGGCAGATCTTGTACTTGTATCCTCTGTCAAAAAATACGGACTCGCAGAAGCTAGAAAAAAGACCCCAGGGTCCTAGAATCGAGGCGTTTTCTCCAAGAACCTCTTTTTCACATCAGGATGACAAGCTTAGCTTGTTCTCAACATTGGTGGAAGCTCCGTTTGAGTGCATTGTAGGTTACTGGGACCTCAAATTACTTAGGATTATTAATGGAATAGTCAAATCACAGTGTTTTACCAGGGATTGAACAGGGAGGAAGGGTGTATCTAAAAGCATGGGTTTTTTCCCGATACCCATCCCTAAAAACAGTACACCGTGATCTTCATTAGCTATGCCTTTTTTAAAAGTGGAGTAAATGTGGCGTAACTGTAACATGTTAATATGCTTCTTCTCGACTTCGCAGTACTCTCAACAATAACAACATCACTCGACTGTCCGTGGCAAGTTTCAACCACATGCCCAAACTCAGAACATTGTAAGTAGTCCCACTGAAGCTGGCTGCCATTTTTGTGAGTCCAGTATATCGCTTGTACCTCTACCAAGTTTTGTCAGTGGTCTGTAAATACATATACAGGCGAAGAAAGCATAAGCTCATTAAAAAAACCCTGAGGTATCATGAGGTTGATGAGTGTGAAGTCTGTGTGTGTGTGTGTAGGGTGGCTAATTCAGAAAGGTAAAGCTAACAAGTGACCCCAAAGCTGATGCTTGGGGCTCAGGAGATAAAGAAGCAGTTGCATCCTTTTCCATCAGCTTTTTTAGGATGTGGGATGGATAAGTCTATGAAAATGGTTTCATGGCCTTTTCCCAGCTGGATTTTCCAGAGTCGTGTATTCAGTCACAGAAAAGCTTCACTTTCTAACAAGAAAGATGAGGGCAGGGGGGATTCTCTTTTGTATGTTACAGCTGTATAGAGAAAGAAATTGATGTTTTTTGAAAGTCAAAAATTTGTTTTACTTTGAGCTATTGAATGGGTCACATTTCATTTAGGAACATGGAAGAATCTTTGATTGGCTGTCAGATGTGATAAATGGGAAATCTTTATGCTTTTATTACTGTACTGCTAGCAGACCTAATTAAACTAAACTGGCTCTCCAACATTCTTTGTAACATAAAATTATAGCATCATCCGGTAGTGCTATTATAATTAAAGTTGTGTCAGCATTTACAATAAGGTCCCCATTTTTAGAGGTTATGACTTTCACAGAAGAACACTTCAGGCTTCTAAAACAAAACACAGTGACAAGAGTGTGTATGCAAGTGGTACAGTTTGGGGTTATTTCTTCTGTATGTTTATACTGAACTAAGAATAAATGTATATTGTGTTGAGTGGCAAAACCAGAATATATCAAGGTTTAGTCCTGAAACGGATTTTCCAGTGAAGTGGGAATCAAAAAGGAATGGGATGTTTCTATCAGAGTTCGAGCGTAGCTGTTACTGTTAAAGAACGACTTTTACAAAGTAACATTTAACATTTTCTGTTACGCACGTTGGGTTGCACAACTGTTTTGAAATCGGTAGGGCTATTCACTCGAGTTAACATACCATTTGTAACTGAAGAAACTTCACGCAGGTGAGTAGTTCGGTTGATTTCATAACAGAATTTATCCATTCTTGCTTGGACAAATACAAGAGTACCTAAACAGTGCTGACCATGGGCTTTTGGTGGCCTCAGTTCTATTTTGAGAACAGAATTTCTTTCCATTCTTTCGGGTCTGAGACTTGGAAACATGAATGTCTGTACCTCTTTCAAACCTTCAAATACAGTTTATATTCTGAACCACAAATTACAGTGAATCAAATTAGCAACATTTACATTTTTTTGGTGGGATATTTCATCTTTTGAAAATTTATTTTAGAAACAAAAGAAAATGGACACACAGAGTCCTAGATTATAGCTGTAACAGCCCATTTGCAGTCAGAACGTGCTTATATAACTGTATTGGTTTCAGCGGCATTAGTTCTGATTTGCAATGGTGTTCTTGCCTACAGCTGGCCACAGATTGTACTGAATGAGTGTGCTGTGCTGTGAGCTATATTTGCAAAGCTCCCACCCAAGAATTAGTGCAAGAAAATACACTGCCTTTAATTTCTAGTCATTTATGGGGGGGAAAAAAAAAGTAAGTTAGTTAAAACGTTTTGTTTATGTTGGTTACACATTTCGTGTTGCTTTACAGATTTTCTTTTTAATGGTTTAATTAGACCCGTTGTCTAAATTCTGATTTTCTTCCACTTCCTTTCCAGTTATTTAGTTAGGATTGAGCACATCAGCTAAAAAGGACCAAAATGACATTACTCTGTTATGGATGATTCTGAGTAAGGATTTGATTTATAGCTGTGGACGTCCTTTTCTGTAGTTTGAGAAAATGTAAGAGCCAGAGAAAAGTAATTTACCTAATTTAGTGAATACATTTGTCTGATATTTTATCAATGGCAAAGTGCTTTTTGCCACTTGGCAAGGAGCCATGGTCTTGTGTCGGACCCTGCCAACAGAGGCGACTTACTTAATTCCATCGCTTGCTGCCATTTGGTCTTTTAATTTCAGGCATTGCTTAGAACGTAGGTCCCTAGGAGCCAAAAGCAGCTAATCCCCCTTTCTGTGATGAAACAAAAAGAGAGGAAATCAGAAAAGGGATGTGAAAGAAGGTGTTTTATATTGAGTTATTACTCTGTCTTGTTCAGCAGAAAATGAATATGACCTGTTAAAGGGATTTTGCAGGCTGTTTCTATAGAGACTAATAATGGTCAGACTTACAGATACATCTAATTGGAAACCACATCTTTTATTAACTCTTTTTCCTGACAGTATATTATCACTATAGGGTAATTTACTTGAGACATTTTTGCCTTATTCACTATTCGTACAGATCTGGACTAAGGAGTCCCAGGGCAGCTTTCAAGCTCTTGTGTGTTTACTTCTTTCTTTTAGACAAGAGAAAAGAAACTACAGATAGGTTACTTTATTAGAAAGCTGCCTCTTTTCTTCCAATTAATTAGACCACAAATAAAAAAGTAGTTTTGCTGCTTGTATAGTTTTATTTATTATCATTTAACTCCCAGACTTACAGTGAAAGATGTGAAAACCTGATCCCTCATTAACAATTTTTGTTAATAAATTGGCATAGTTGCTTGCTGAAGGGGGCAAATTGGTTGCTTTTCTGTTTGTTGTTCCTAATTTGAAGGTATTGACGTGTTTCTCTCCATGCAGTCGTCTTCATTCCAACAACCTCTACTGCGATTGCCACCTGGCCTGGCTGTCCGACTGGCTGCGGCAGCGGCCGCGGGTGGGCCTCTACACCCAGTGCATGGGGCCGTCCCATCTCCGGGGACACAACGTAGCGGAAGTCCAAAAACGGGAGTTTGTCTGCAGCGGTAAGGGAAACGGATTCACTCACCGAGTCCTGTTTTAAAACACACCTACCAACGGCTCAGGGTTGCTAGGCTCGCGTGTTGACTTTTGCTAGCTTTTGCATAATCCGAGCTTCAATGTTCATTAAAAAAGAAACTAACCATTTTTGTCGCTATTTGTATCTTGTGTGGGGGTGCTTCTGTCCTTACAAATTTTGTGTAAATGCTGCATTCACATAGACTATATGGCCTTCTAAAAGTATAGTTACGGGGGAGAGATGCGGGAAATGAAATAAAAGGTGCACTGACTGAGAACACAAGACCTTTAGTAATAAGGAATTACTCTTTTTTAACTTTACAGGTTGTTGCTTTTTCTTGTTGTTATTTTCTGCAGTTTAAATAATATTCTGAATCCCTAAGTAACTTTCTGACTGTTATTTGTATGCTTTAGTGCATCAGATTATTTTCTGATATGAAAGAATGAAATGACTAACGGTTTGTTACTAATCGCATTTTCTCTATTCATTTTTTTTTCCTTTATTCATATCTTCTAGATGAGGAAGAAGGCAAGTTTATCTTTCTTACTTAAATATTTTTAGATTCTAATTGAAAATCTTTTGTAAACTTTGACTACTGTTTCAAGTTTCCTCAAACACATTAAAAACCAGCTGGAATACAGCTATCTGTCTTTTCAGCGATTCAGAAGGGTTGTTTCTACTGGTTGATTTTCTGCAGACCCCCAGAAGCTTATTGCCAAATAAGCCAAAATTTGCACAGATCTATGCTTTTAAAAGAGTTTTATGGACAGCACAGTGTTCTGTCCTTATTAAACAGCCTCTGACATCAAAGTGTAAGGCACTGCCATCTTCGCACAGCAAATGCTGACAGTATTCTTACCATTAATTCTGCCTTTATGTACACTTAAAAGGGCTCCTAACAAGATCACTTCATGTAACTTATTTGTAAATGGTATGGCTGCAGAGCCCAAGTGTCAAGAACAGTTTTATAACTTGGTCATTATAATGCTGATTTTGAGGAAGGGAATAACCATGTTTTCTCCCTGGATCACTGTATTTTTGTTTAATAAAAGCAGATGAAATATTTCCTGCCTGTTAGTATAAAAAAAGTAGTACGTGATACTAGTTTTGGCAGCTGTTTGTACTTTTGCAGCACATACAAAAATGTGAAATCAAATGATTATGTTGTAAACTACTGTCTCAAAAGACTAACCTTTTCAGTAATTTAAAACTTGAGCAGTTGTTATTTGAAGTATTAAGTAGGAACAGCACTGGCTGCAACTTATATTATCAATGTACCTTTCCTATGTTAATATATGACATTAAATACAGTGAGAAAGTTCTTAGATTAAGTTGTGATTTCATAGTCAAGAAGTTTTTTTCGCTGAGAATCTCAAAACAGTCTCCAGCTTTTCTTACCTTAATAAAAAAAGAAAGAAAAAGAGGGTTTCATGCCTTTCTCATCTCTTTGTGCCTTTCTGTATCATTAAAAAACAGCAATTCTGTATCATTAAATTGATACAAGAATGAGTGCATTAATATGAAATGTGCAGTCTCTCTATTTCCGGGAAAATATAATAAGTTGTTTACTTTCTAAAACATACCTAAATATGAAGTGATTGTGTTTAAATGCAATTATAAATGCCAAGTTTAACATAAAGCCCACCAACTTGGGGGTTGGGGGGAAGTGGTGTAAATTAGCCTTCTAAGTAAGAATGCTAGATTGTGGGAGGAAGAAGTCTGTTGAGCTAACAGAGAGAGTGAGAATATGAGCTGTGAAGTCAAAGCTTTTATTTATTTATGTGTTTGAGTGAAAACATCAGAACTCCAAAATTGGCTGTGAGTGATACATAACTGAAGGACTATACTCAAATATTTGCCAAACAGAACATAACTAGCAGGACACCTTCAGTTTTTGTAGCAAAGTTCATTCATTTCTGTTTACATGCATTTTTAATACTACACAAAATTCTGAAAACTAAATAAATCAATAATTGGTTTTTAAAACCACAGAATAAATAAAATACACCTGAAAAATGGGTCAGACTTAGTCTTCTTTAATAAGATGATTTTGAATGCAAGTTGCTAAAGAAGTTGAAAAATGATGTAGTGCTAGCACAGTAGTTGAGCATTTGTCTTTCATCTCTCAGTATTGTGTCAACATGTTGCTATTAATTGGGTATTTAAGTTAATGCAGTTCAAAAGTATTGATGTACTACAATGTTTATTTTATAAGTTCTGCCTTACATTTTTCAAGGAAGTGTAAAATGTGATGTTTTACTGTTGAGGTAAACTGGACTACTGTTTGACAGTATTGTGCAAGTTTAGGAGAAACTCTTTTCCTTTGCAGGTCACCAATCCTTCATGGCTCCCTCTTGCAGTGTCTTGCATTGTCCTACTGCATGCACCTGTAGTAACAACATTGTGGACTGTCGTGGGAAGGGCCTTACTGAGATCCCAACAAACCTTCCAGAAACCATTACTGAAATGTGCGTAATCTGACTTTTTTTCCTGTGAGCTTGCAGAAAACAGTTCTTTCCTATGTATTCATTTTTGTTACTTGTATAAATTCATGTATTATACATGGTACGAATTTTGGAATGCATATTCAAATTCAGATCTAAAAGGAATATGCGGGTATATGAAAATATTTAAGACATTAATGGTCTCTTATGAGTTAGTTTTGTATGTACTATTCACAATCCATAGTTAAAACTGCATTCTGAGTTGGTTTTAAAGGAGTTTAGGAATATTTTCTTTTCTGCAAGTAAGTGGCTTTTCACTGCAGGCTGTAAACCCCGTTGTCTTCAGAGCTTCTTGCTGTGCTGCTTTTGGCTGGGATAGAGTTAAGTTTCTTCGTAGTAGTTGGTATGGGGCCATGTTTTGGATATGTGCTGGAAACAGTGTTGATAATACAGAGATGTTTTCATTATTGCTGAGCAGCGCTTACACAGAGTCAAGGCCTTGTCTGCTCCTCACACCGCCCCACCAGCGAGCAGGCTGGGGGTGCACAAGAAGCTGGGAGGGGACACGGCTGGGACAGCTGACCCCAACTGACCAAAGGGATATTCCATACCATATGATGTCGTGCTTAGCAATAAAAGCTGGGGGAAGAAGGAAGAGGGGGATGTTCGGAGTTACGGTGTTTGTCGTCCAAAGTAACTAGTATGCACAATTGTGCCCTGCTTTCCTGGAGATGACTGAACACCTGCCTGCTGATGGGAAGCAGGGAGTGAATTCCTTGTTTTGCTCTACTTGCGTGCACAGTTTTTGCTTTACCTGTTAAACTGTCTTTATCTCTACCCGTGAGTTTTCTCACTTTTACCCTTCTGATTTTCTCCCCCATCCCACTGTGGGGGAGTGAGCAAGTGGCTGTGTGGGGCTGAGCTGCCTACCAGCGTTAAACCACAACACTTACCTTCAGGCACTGTATTCATCAGACTCCCTATTAGAGAAGCATATCTTTGCATGAAAGATCAGCAGCCTATACCACCCACAATAAGTATTCTGCTAAAGTGGTATCCTCAGAGGATAGTCTGAGAAAGCAAAAGTAAGGTGGTTGAATGGGATCTGTGGTATAGTCATCATGTTGATACCATTTGTTTGTGGATAGAAGAGTATGCATACTGATAAGGTTGTTTGACATGTCATATACAGCAGAAACATTTACAAAAAGTACAACAATGTCCTGACCATAGAGCAGAGTCATAGCAAAGGTGCTATCGGGCTTGTAGGCTTCAAGAGCGATGTGGCTGAGAGGTTGCGTGGGCACAGAAGGAAAGTTACTGCTACTTTGTCTTCTGTGGCAAGGAGGAACAAAAGCAAAAGGTGAGCTTGCTGACAAGATGGGCAGGGACTCAGCCACATGAGCATCTTTTTATGCTGGGGATGGCAGAGGCAGTGTTTTGGAAGGGAAACTGGGAATTCCCTTTAGGGAAGTAGTGTGATAGTAGGTGTGCCCTCAGCCTGGTAAGGAGGTTCTGGCTAGAAGTAAATGAGTTAGAGAGAGTATTCAGAATAAAAACCTTGTGAGCATCTTGATGATATAAGATGATGTTAAGAATTTCGGGTAAGGGATGTGAGGGGAACAGATGCCTGAATTGAAAGGGAAGAGGTCTCCTGAACATACATCTACCTATCTGTTGTACATAAGATCTTCTTGAAAGTTTAAAAACAGGCTTCCACAATAACATTTTAAAAGATAAAGTAGAATTTTACAATTTCATGGCAATCTCATGGCTTGTTGATATCTGACCTGTGTTTTTGAACTTCACAGAATTGGAAGTGCTGTGGTTTCTTCTTAGGATGTGAATAATAATCATGTCTGTCATTTCATTGTTACTGCTGTTAGACTGACCTGGCTGACCCTACCTGACCCAATTCAGTCATTTGGCTATATAATACAACACTTCTACCTTTCACCCCTCTCAGAAAAAACACTCTGCTTGCAAATAAAGGGACTACTTCAGAAAATCCATGTGCAGTGCCGGGGAAGGCTGCGCAGACTGTTTTCATTATTTAGTTGCATACTGGCTTTTTACTTGCATATGTACATCTGTGTGCATAGAGAAGGGGGAAAAATATTACAAGAAAGAAGCAGGGAGTATGTCTCAAACATTCCTCGCTATATTTCTGCTGCTAACCAGTGCTAACCACTGAAAGGCAATTACAGACACTGGAAGACTGACTTCTGTATCGCTCTCTTCTAGACCTATATAGTGTAGTGGAGGTACATGCTGTTAACATCTGTACTCCCTTGAGAAATTCGGTACTAGAGATTGAAAGGGTGTTCCTGAATCTTTATTTTCTGGGTCATCACTCCCTAAGAAATGATAGGATGTAGAAGTTACTAGTTGACTCTGAATTCACTGTTAAAAGAAACGTGTATAAGGTAAAAGCAAGTGGGAATTTACCAGATGGAGAGGTGTTTTCCACTGATCTGTTCACTATACTTTCTATATAAGAAGTGCTGTTGAGTTTTAAGCATGGACTGGTATGATCTTCAGCAGTTTATTGGCCTGGAGAGTAAAAGCAACCATGTAACAATACATCCAGCATTTGGCTAAGCATTTAACTGATTGCTAACCAAAGCTGAATGTTTCCTGCTGGACTGGGCAGTGTTCAAATCCCAGAGTGAGACCTTTGCACATTCTGAGATCCATAATCCATTAATATAGATAAATATGTGTGCGTGCTCATATAAATATGTACTGTATATATACTGTCCTACAGTGTATATTGTTTATAGTGATACAGTGTAAGCTATCTGATACCTGTCTGTATTGTATCTAATTTGTAAGTGCTGGCTAAATGAAAAGCAGATCACAGTATTTTGCACAGTTAAATAACATCATTCATGCCATAAGACATGTGACCATACATTTATTCAAAATCTGGTGCAAGAAGAGATAGAACATTAGAAAGCCATACTTCAGTAATTATTTTATGTTAAAAAGATATGTACCAGTGAATGCCAGTGTGATGAGAAAACTGGACTTCAATGATTGACTTAGTTTTTGAGTAGAGTAGACAGAAGGATTGAGATATGATTTGAGCCAGTGGTAGGCTGCACGTGCCATGCAGTGAGAACAAAACTTTAGAGTTGAGTAGAAGGTAAGGAGAGAACTGTACAGGAAAAGAAAGAAAGAAAATAAGGCACATGAAAGGCTCTGAAACTGAGGGATAAACTGAGTGGAAGAATTAGGGTAGAGGATCTTGTGAGTATTTGATGACAGTCACATGACCTTTGCTGCTTCCTTGTCAACAGGTTGAAGTGGAGTTGAAATTTTCACAAATAAGTGTATTTCAATGGTTGTATGGGGAAAGCTTTACACTGTACTAATTGCTTTAATGTGAGGAAAATAATTAGTGATAGTTCTTTTATGATTGTCATGGGTGCAGGTATATTTACAATCTTAGAATTGAAGAGAATGAGAGAGAGAGAAGAGGTTGGAGAATGGGTAGTTTATGGCATAAAAAAGGGTTTACTGATAATGAAGTGAGGGAAGTCTATGAGACTGGATCAAACCAGCACTCCATCCTGGCCAGTGGCCCGCATCAGTTGTCCCTGAAGAATGGTTTAGAAACAGCAATATACAACTTCAGAAGTAAAACACCAATAGGACAGATATTTTCCTTGCTCCCAATGTGTGTTGGGGTTCTTTTTCTGAAACTTGAAAATTTGCATAGCTTTCAGGAAAAAAGGTTTTCTTTGAAACATCCAATCTGCTTTAAAGCCTACTATGTTCTTAATCTTCATGTTATTTTAAGCTAATAAATTCTGGGAGAAGGGGTTGCACTCTAAATCTTCCAGTTTAAAATATAGTCTTTTAAAATTTCATTACTTTGTCTTTGTAGAGGGAGGGAAAATGCATTCAGGCTCATAATTTGTCCTGCCACCTTCTATTTTGCATGCCACCCTCATTCATCTCTTCTCTAAACTAACTGTTCCATTCAATCTTTTTGGATGCCAAAACCTTCCATGTCTTATTAATCACCTCTTTTTGCTCTGAACTCCTTGTTTTCTAAATTTTTTTGACCTGCAATGACCAGAGTCAAATACAATATTCCAGATGATAGTGAACCATCACTTCATATTAACAGAATTTTTCTTTCATTTGCCTTTTGCAACCTAATACTCAATACCTAAATTGCTTTCTTTAACTGCCTGCACACATTGCACCATATTTTCCATTGAACTAGTCATGAAGAGTCCTAGGCCTTTTTTCTCAGCTCTTAAGAGTTTTGTCAGGAACCACAAGTTCATAGATGTAATCCTATTATTCCATCCATAGGCATTTCTGAACATTGAATCCAGTTGTATGTTACTTTTTAAAGCTGCTCTATGAAAGACTTCAGTCCTCTGCTTTTAACTAACTTCAACATGCAGAAAGATTGTGACATTCCTATATTGTTATCATACAATAAAAAGTGTTTTAAAGCTTCATTTTTAAAGAAGTACTTTGCAACTGTTGCTTATAGCAACCTCTTGAGATTAGATTAGAAAGAATGATTGTATCCCATAAAATAATCTGGTTTTTCACTTACTCCTTATGTGATAATGTTGTCAGTATGCCAAAATGGTAGCTGACAGTAAACATTTGAAGAGATGAGACCATGCTGTCACGGCAATGTTGAGAATGCTGAGGAGCTGCTGAATGCAAGGCAGAAGGGTATAGTGAGCATTGTATTTCCACCATCATTATACAGTTCCCACACACATGGCTGTATTATCTTAATCACCATTTTAAGCACATGCTTTGGCAGGAGCTCCCTAGTTCTCAGGGAGAGAGGGAAAGAGAAATGTGCTAGTTCCCTGTTGTTGTCTGAAGGATGTACAGGCTTTAACAGCCAAATAATTATTTATTCACTCATCTTTATAATGCTACCATCACCAGATTCTTGTGCACAACACAAGAAAATTGGCATTATACTAATATTTTACATGCGCCAGATATTGTCCAGTCTTTTCAGTACTTTTCCATATTTG